ATTCTTGAAATGATGTTGCGGCCACTTATAGGTGGCGTATTACACTTCTCCATTCAACATTGGTCATCCAAGGCCGAAACTGATGAATGTGCCCGGTTTCAACGAACGTTTCCTGCTCGGCTGCTTTGCAATAAGTTTTGAGACCACGGTGTGCAGATTGGCGTTGACATTAGATTGCTTTTCAGCGTCGTGAAATGGTACTAAGTAGCTACCAAGTCGGCAGGCTCTTCGAGATGTCTCACTGCAATGTCTGCCCGTAACTTGCAATGCAGTGCCATGCGGTTGTTTGTCTATATGCATGCACCAAGAGGCAGAGCGATGTCAGCTCATTGATGCAATGCTCTTGATTTTGCTGTCTTCCCATGCACAGATGCCAATGCGTTTTCCAGACAGACTGTCCACGTTTGGGTAGCTAATTTTACGCCTACTGTGGGAGCGCATCGTGCCATTTCAGATCGCTTGCCCACTCACTCCCTGTCTGGCTGGCTGTATGTCATCTCGATGGCAAGCGAATGAACGATACACCCGATGTCCAACCCGCACTTATTAGGCTCTCACCACTTCCTCTCTAAAAGTTTACCTTCGCCCCGTGAGTGTGTGTGTGGTAGATTGCAGACGAAGTTGCTCATCCGCTGAGGGCCAACTAGGGCCGACAGACGGTGCCTATCTATTCTGTCCAAATCGAGACAATTGGAAGTGTTGCAAGTGCAGCTTCTGCTTCAGAGACGATCAGAAGTGGTCAGTTGGTGAGAAGAAGGTTCCCTTCTTGGGCAACGCCAAACAAGGGGATTGCAGATCACAATTTCAATCATTCAAACCAGTAAAGCACCAAATGAGGTTTTACCACAAATACGGAACAAACTTGGCCACTTTTTTATAGCAGGGAATTGGTCCTATTTTGGACAAACTTAGTAACAACTGAAACGCCTTTTCCGCAGTTTTAGAAACCTAATCCAAGAAAGGAAATGTCTATTGTATTTCAGAGATTGCCCCTGCGTTATTCGCTAGTTCCCACGGTAGTTAGGCCTGACTTTTTGCGCCATTCTCCCTAAATATTTCACTGAAATGATGGAATAATTTTCTTCTACCTTCTAGATGGTGTTTTGGAAGCCATTATAAATGATCTACCGGCGTTGAAGTCACTCCTGGTGGAGGTTTGCGAACGCTTCCCGAATGTAGAGGTAACTCAAATCAGAT